ATGGTGGGAATTAATAGGCATATTTTCTTGTGCATGTTTCTCTTCCATGTAGTACTTCAGTCTCACTGCATATATATATATATATTTTTAAAAGTTAAAGAAAGATAAAACAACAAGCAGAAGGGACACAACACAATATGCATTTAAATCTTTGTTTAAGAACAAGCAGCTAATTAAAAAAGGCAAAATACAGGAAAAGTGCATCAGTTCCAATGAGTTAGTATAAGAGGCCCACAGGTGGAGAGCATGTACCCTTAAGGGTAGAGTCTCCTAGAAGACCTCTGATTGTCTACAAAGATTATTTAAAATTTATTTTAAGAAGACATTAAAAAAAAAAAACAGAAATGAAAGAGGAGAGGAGAAACATGACACCTCCAGAATTTTTTTTTCCACGAGGTTTCTTGGAAACTGGTGCTCAACAACTTCCAGAGTGGGCAAGAATTCATTTGTGCCCGGACTTCGTCGTTCATTCACACACCTCGAGCGAGCCGTCCCCGCGTGTCAGGCAGAAGGCCTCTTCCTCTTGAACTGTGCCAGGCTAGAGGACTTCCACAAGCTCTGTGCCCATGTTTGTGCTAAGTCAGTTAGACGCTCAATTTTGTCAGCGCAAGACCTGCTCGCTTCCATGGCTTAAAGCTGAGCCAAACACTGCTGGCTTTGCACCTAACAGAATAAATTAGTCTTCTCATCAAAAAGTCCATTTATATGTCTGGTGCATTTCAGAACAACAGATGTGCCGTTGAGGAAGCTAGAAATGACCATGGTTAGACAAAGTGTCAAAAACCTTAACTCATTTTTGTTATATTTCATATGGGTAACTTTTTTTTTTTTTTTTTTTTAGAAAACACAGGACAATAAAAGAGGCTTGTATCTGGTATTCCCAAGTCCCATGCTAATCCTTCACCGAAAAGGCTGCCTTTGAAAACAAGGCTACATGCATATGTGGGGAAGGCCGGCAGCACTCTGAAATGTGGGTTCAGCACACAATCCCTTTAAAATGGAGCCTTCAGCCAACATTTGAAGTCTCCTGACAAAGCCTATGTCTTTGTGCTTAGTTAGTTTTAGGTCATTTGAGCTTACAGTAGGCAGTAACCAGTCTGCCGCTATGTGACAGGACTGGTTAAGGAGTAGCTTTGTATAGGATCATCATATTTTTGGCTTTCTGGTAAGGCTACTTCATCTAGTAACTTCTCCTCTAGCAACAGATTTGGTCCAAAGGTATCCAGTCTCCAATTTGATAGTTTTGAAGCCTATTCCATTACATTCAAAAATCTTGCAAGCCACTTCGCCTTTTGCTAACAACGTACCGAGTCTTTGTACTTTATACAGAAGAATGGAGTGCTCAGTCCTATCAGCTGTAAATATATTTACACTTCTGTGGACCTAGCAGCTAAATACTCCTTCCCTCCTTTAAAGCATCGCTGAATAAAGAATAAACACTAGCAAATCCTAAAACAACAACAAAATACTGCTGAAAATTGTGACAAGAGAAAGTAATCTTAACAACCACTCCTGAACTCTGTATGTACTGTTTCCAGTAATCCCAGGAGAGACTGCAAACACTCCTGGAGTTCTATACAACACACAAATGAATCTGCCTTTTATTTCATTCCTCAAAGAGCAACTTGCAGAAATGTTTAGCGTTAGAAAAAAAGTAGTCTTCATTCACCAAGATCAGTGCTGTCCCTCTCCTGTTCTGGAAGCATTGCTTTCAGTTTAGGGTGGACTGCAAGCTACTCGTGCTTTGGGGGATAAGTCTACCACGTTAACCTTCCATGACATTTTTGGAGGTCAAGTACTTCTCTATTAACGGACTCCTTGTGTGGTGCAGAAAACATGCTGTAGTAACTAAAAAAAATACCAAAACCAAAACCCCCAACTTTCTGCCTAACAAGGCTAAGCTTAGCACAGTACGAGTGCCATATGGAGGCACCACCAGGTTTCTAATGCTATGATGTGCAAAACCAAGACCGTACAACACATATGAAAGTAAACCAAGCAAGAATACAAACCCTCAATGGGTCAGCCAAGGGCAATCTCCTTTTACCATCCACACAAACAGTAGAGGAGGCCCAGTGGAGGGCTCATTTTCTTGTACTGAAGACATTTGTGCAAGACACCACTGCCTTTCTCCTGGACTCCACCTTTGTCATATGTTATGGTGAATGGATGTGGCAGAGGACAGCACAAATCCCTGAAGCCTGAATTATGGCAGTCCCAGCAACTCCTGCTGGTGAAACATCGGTATCGCCCAAAGTCATCGGCTACCCAAAATCCAGTTTTGAAGAAACAGAGCAACTAAAGTAGCACGGGAGCTGATTTCAAGTCATGTTGGAATAAGATGAACAAATATAAGTGCAGTTGTGTCATCTGCCACATATAGAGAAAGAGGAACTTGAAGCAGAGTAAAGTAGAAACACCATCCATCAAGATAAAGCCCCAATTATCCCTTTTAAATCCAGCAATAAAACAGAGTGCATTTTTTTCCAGGAAACAGAGTGTACAGTACCCGTGTGCAGCATAAAAACATTTCACAAATAATGAAAACATCCCTTTTGAAAATGTCAACAAAAATAGATCCCATTGGGACCAGACTGTCAGTGCCTCCCAAAACAAGGCAGAAAAATCCAGCCTATAAAACATGCCAAAGGTGACCAGTAAGTATCCCACTAACCTCTGAAACTGCTGACTGCTTCATTTAGTGAGAAAAAGAAGTATGACATTTGTATTTAAAACCCTAGGCACCGTGTTAACAGGTTCACTAAATTACCCTTTAAGCTTTGTTCTCTCCTGACAACTACTTAAAAAGACATCTATCTGTCCATGGGGAAAGGTGGAAGCAACATCTTTTGGCTATGCCGAGCAATTCTGCTGGGCATCAGTGCAACAGAATTCTGGAAACCCTGAAGAATGACAAATATGATCCAAAAGCACGGTCTTCCAGCCCAGAAGTTCTCTGCTGGTCAAATTTCTCAAGACAAGACACTGACAGCAAAGCAGCAATGTTTCTTTCAAAATTTTTTTCAGGCCTAATGGCTTATCACTGAGCTTGTCCTAAGGGAACAGAGTGCAGGCGGATGATCTAAGCAAAACACGAAGGGCCAAAACGTCCATTTATTGGCTACGTATCTGGTGTGAGAAAGAAGAGGGGCACTTTGACTTCTATTTAATTATGTTTTCAGACTCTGCTTACAACTCGAGAGAAAACTGCTCTCCCTCCCTCAAGAATACTCGGCTAGTAAACAGTCTGTCTGACATTCATGTTTTGATTCTGGAATGGAAAAAAAATTAGCTGGTTTTAGCACTTCTGTAACTAGTTCTGTCTTGATTAGACAGTTATTCTAATGGGGGAAAGAAAAAAAACACCAAAGTTATTTAGCTTTGCTTACTCTAAACAGTTTTCATTGGAGGTAGCTCCCCCTCAACACCTATGTGGCAGATACAGACATATAGATTATGCAAACTCAGCTCTTAGTTTACAGATGACCTCCTCGCTGAATCCTACAGCTCACAGCATCAGAGCAACTGACTGCATTAGGCCTAAGAGACCCTTGAATCAATCCATCTGACCAGAGCAACCAGTTCTTATCAGAAACCAGCAAAGGCATCTTTCCAAAACAAATTCCTGTAGTAAGCACCTTCCCACCTTAAATGCCAGGGGCTTTCTGCAAAAATGGATTTGAATAGGAGATAAAGGACCAGGGCTGCACACATAAAGCTCCTGCCTGCGCTCCTCCAAATACTCTGAGACCAGGCAGAGTGAATGAATGCAAGCCATCTGAAACCTAATGCTTACTTGATGCAGATCTTGAGCCTGATGCAAGTTTCCAACATCTTTAATGGAAAATAAGGTAAGCCCTGTTACTTAAATTGTAAAGCAGAGGTCTACAGCAAGGGGGCGATTGGGTTTTATTACCCCGGAAAATTAAAATCAGCAGTTCATCCTACTGTGGGTCTACTGATGGAACTAGATGTCCCTCTGGGCCTTTTCCTTTTCTCTAAAAAAAGCACACAACCCCCTTCCAAACCCCCCACGTTTTCATCAAGTCTGATCCTGAGGAGCTGTAAATAGTTAAAAATACAAAGTCACGCTCATAAGATAGTTTCCAGTATGCAAACCCTGGCAGAGCTAAGCTGCAGTCCTCTACTGATCGCTATTTTCTTAGTTTATGCTCTAAAAAGATGTTCATGTAGCAAAGCAAAAGTCTGCTGATGGGCTCTGTGTACGTGGCCCAATTGTTTGCTATAACAAAAAGGAAACAACTTCACACAATTAAAAAAAAAAAAAAAGATATTTGACAATCAAAATATAGAAAATGTGGAGGCACTTTCTCTTTCCTTCCTTTTTTTTCCTACAGCCCATCTGTAAGAGAAGTGCAAAATAATAAAGTTTTCTGACATCTGAGAAAAAGGTAACATCCAAGTTAAGCCTACACAGGTTTCAGCTAAAGCTTTGGAACAGAAGCTCTCTACGCTGATACTGGTTTGTACTCCTGACATGCCTACACAAGAGACACTGCTGTGCAGCTACAGACGATTTGTCCAGAAGTAGTAGTTCCCTCCCTTTTTAGTTCATCACTTCTACTGTTCAGGCTACAGAGGTAGTAAAAACAAACAAAAACCCAACAACAAAACAAACAAAAAAGCAAAATAAAAAAAAATGAAACAAAGAAACCACACTCTTGCTATACTGTACATTCAGAACCCTGTGGCCACGTTGTTGTCCTAACAATGAACAAATTCATTAAAAAACTCAACATTAACACACGAATGTGCAAAGGGCACATTCCAAAGCCAGTGCTGTGGTAAAGCAAGTGTTTGTCCACAGGGAGGGAAGGGGATTCTGTGAATCATCAGGAACAGAGAAAGGTTATTTCTGGCAGCCTACATGCTAACGTAAACAGGATCCGTTTCTCCTTTTAAAGTTCTGTGCCAACAGAACTATTGAAATGTCATTTCCCACCAGAGGAGACTTTTCTGTAATCATTAAAAAATACATTAAAAAAAAGGGAACCATAGAGCAAGAGACTATTGTGTTCCCGAGCTGGCAGCTGGTAGAGTAGCCCCTGTGTTTGCATTGGCATTTTGCTCCAGATGTTGTCTTCCTTTTGTCAAAGTGAAAAACAGAGGCTGACAGATGCTCTTAGGTCACCAGGGCCCCAGTTTAACTTCATTTGGCTTTCCTTGCTAGAGAGAAAGGAGCGTGTTTTTGTAGTTGTGCTTCAAAGGTCCACTTCAACTTGGCTGCTCCTCAGTTAGCAAACTGCTGGTAAAAGGCAAGTTTGACCCTCTCAATGTGATGGCAGAGTTTAATAGCTGGCCCAAGCTTCAAGTCCATACACTCCTGAACGGTGGGCAGGGTGAGCAGCAGCAGTGCCTGGCCATCGATTTCCTGTCAGAAGACAAAAACTCTATAGTGACTTTGCATTTTATTTTCCCTGCTCCTTCAGCTTTGACTGGCTGTAATTTCAGATTCATGACCGTTTCCGAATCAGATATTTCTTTCATGCTACTCCAGGCAGCTTAAAAAAAAATAATAAATCTCTCCTTCTCACAACAAATTCACTTCTTTTTTAAAATGTCAGCTCAAATTCACTGGCTAAGGGACAGAACCTCATGAGATGTTATTTTTAAAAAATAAACCTAGTAACAGAAACCAAGACAATTTAATGCAAGAAGTCTCTTTACCTAACCTTTGCATCTTTCTCTAGAAACAGAGGTTCTACAAGAAAAAGTGCATCTTCTGGAACATCTATCATAAACTATAGTCATTACCAGTTCCAGTCCTAGTTTTGATAGATGATGTTTTTATGGCAAATTTTAACCAAGATGCAAGAACAATGTTAACTTGACTCATGTTTGTACTCTAGTTGTCATACTTCAGCACAAAAATGTTCACTTGTGCAGCTGTACAACACTGATACCTGCAGTTAGTCTGCAGAATGGAAAATATTTGTCATTTGAGGCCCCATCTCTGGAGGTGTTCAAGGCCAGGCTGGACGTGGCCTTGGGCAATCTGGTCTAGTGGGAGGTGTCCCTGCCCATGGCAGGGGGGTTGGAACTCGATGATCTTCAAGGTCCTTTCCAACCTAAACCATTCTATGATTCTATGATTTGGAAAAGCCAACACAAGTGGCAAAACTGTATCTCCTAGAAAACAGGCTCCTGCCTTCATGCTGCCTGGTTGCAGGCATTCTCTGTAGTTTTGGGATTTGGAGGCCCCACAGACCAAAATGTCCTCTAATGAGTAAAAAGAAACCTGAAAAATTCTGGCCATTCCCTTAACCCTCCTCTCCCAACTGCTGTTGTGCATGCAAAGGTTGTGCATGTATTTGTTCCCTCAAAACCCTATTATAAAATTTAAAGAAGCTTCTTTTTGTCATTCATTAGAGGATAAGAAGCAAAGTAACAGATTCAACATTTTAGCAGTCAGAAAACCATACCTGATCAAGGAAAATTCTTGCCAGTGGTGCACAGTCAGTGGATTTGAGGAATCGTACAACATCAGCCACGCTCCATTCCAGAGGGTTACTGTCCAGCTGCAGCTTTTCAGCAACCTCCATCTTCATGTCCTAGACAAGCCACCCAGCACAAAAATAATTCCCAGAATATTACTTACGCAATGGACCAACACTCCCCTCTACCCCCCAACACCCAAATATTCAGCTGCCAAATAAAGCTCTAATGAGAGCTGAAATCGTAGAGGTTTCTTGGTTAGCAGAGATGTGCAGAATAGCATTGTGCTGAGGGTGGAGGCTATGACATCGTTATAGCCAGTAAGCAGGGATCTAAAACCAGGATTTGGTCGACACCACGTCACTGCTGAGGTTGAACCAAGGAGCGCTAACAGCTGGGAAATGGAAACTTCATCCTTCTGTCTACAGCTTTCTGTTTAGTCCAGCAATATGACTGTAATAAAAATTTTGATTTTTAATAATTCTGAAGTGTCTTCACAATGCCTTTTTGGGGTAAGAGTATTTTATGAGAACACACGTATGACGGTTAATACTCCCAATATATTCGTGCTTGCCCAACAGTGAGCAAACTAGAACACAAATCTACGCTCAAAGTTACCTTTGGTGAAGGAGGTTTATTTTCATCATCAGAAAAGGAAAAGGTCCTGAGCTTCCTCTTCCGCTTGTCTCGGTCCTGAGCCAGGGAATGAGACAGTTCACTCTGTGTAGGAGAGGATGACAGTGATTTCTTCTCTGATACTTCTGATTCCTCAAGCAATTCGTCTTGGTGCTCTGAGGTACTATCTTCAGTCAGAGATTCTTCATCTACCTCATCCTGGTCATCCTCCTCTTCTCCTCCACTACCCTGAAGAGGCAGGAAAAAAAAAAAGCAATGAAAAAAAAAAAAGGGCAAGTTTAGGATAAAAGCTACAGTTGCCACCCATTTGTCAGCTGTAACCTGAGGTTACAAGGAACTAACAGTTTGTTGCTTCAAATGTAGCTGGTTGAAGGTCACATACCGTACCTATTCATGTTGTTGGTAGTCTCATACCTGGGGAGATCCAGCTGGAGTGTTATCCACTGAAGCAGAAGAACGTTTTTTCTTATGAACAAAAAAATGTTTTCGTCTCTTCCGTCTTTTATTTGGTTTCTTCATAGCTACTTCCAGGTTACTGTGGCCACCCGGAGGCCTGCCTATCCGCTTGTTTTTCCGCTTTCCATAATAGTGTGCTACCAGGACAGAAGAAAGGAGCGCCATGTTGAAATGCACCTTCAATAGCAACTAGTTACGATTGTCGATCATCAGGACTGGAAAATCAGTAGAAGGATATCTCCCAATAGAAATCCTAATACTGCAAAACTTCAAAATGTGTATGTCTATATTTTCCTCTTCAATTTGGTTTAAGGAAGAAGAGTTACTAATCAATTTTATTTGCCCTATAAAGATTTACCTCCTCTTTTTCTGAGAAGCCCCAAATGATCAGATTTTATCATCAGCCACAGACTTGGTCCAATTTAATGGCGCATTTTGTGACGTTTTGCAGTTTTTAAACATGGCCTCAATACACTGTTGGTTCTCACAGTGTCAAATGGCTAAAGTTAGGTTAAAAAAAACCTTAAAAAACTAAAAAAACCTAAGGGCTAAGAAAAGAGAAGGTTTTATTTTGTTTCACAACAAACTGGTAAAAGCAATTAGAATGCTACTTGAATTACAATATTAGTCAGTTCTTGCCCCAAAAGTTGTCTTAAGAAGATAAAGCTGTAAGCACACAACAAAAAGTTAAGCCATGGTTCTACCACTTAATATAGAATTAATTTTTTCTCCTCTACACACTGGCACACGGATATTTTGTAGGCCTAAATATGTAGTACTTGAGCTGCTCCTTGTGTAAGCAAAGCAATGGATTTTGGATTCCTTCTGGAGCCAAAGCCAGAAGAAACCCAAAATATAACTCTCCAAGCCCCACCTCAGTTTGAGATCAGCAGCCTACTTACTGTATTTAGTCTTTGTCAGGACAGAGCAGTTCTCTGAACACTTATCCAGCACCATCTGAGGGCCGAAGAGGTTTGGACAGCATTCCAGCTTAATGCATGTTTTCCTACAGAAATCTGCCACCCGGTCTGCTGTCCTCACAACTTCCACAGTTGCACGGTAGCTCTTCCCTTTGTACCTAGCATTGAAAATATCATCATAATTCAGTAATCCTCTAATTACCAGGAGAAAAGTACTTCACTGAGAGGTATACAAGAATGTTGCTTTGAGATCAAACTCAAGGAAAACCTGAGCAATGAGGAACTTTATGGACTGACAAGTCCTGGAAACAGGTAGTGCTGTCTCTTACGACACGCTCAAGCAAAGAAACAATGCCAGCACCAGAGAGATGCCTGCAGTACCCAACACAGCAACGCTGCCCTGCCAGCAACCACCAAACACTATCTGAGAGGACTATCCCAAAGTTTGGATGTTTTGTTTTCTTTGTTCACAGGTGGTTTGTGCGTTCTTTGTTTTCATGGTACTGCAGAAGTGTCCACTGTGCTGTAGCCAGCTGGGGCCCAAACCCAAGACCGAGTGCACCAATTCAGCTAATAAAGGTAACAGCAGACAGCTTCTAGTGAGCCATTCTATGCACATACTATGGCAAACAAATGAAATACTGTCACATTTCCAATCAGCTTTCATCTAACTGCTGAACAATGTGTCAGGACAATCACTTGCCATGACTCCACATATTGCTCCCGTTTGATTTAAATTAAGAAGAGATTTCTTTTTGTTGAGCAGCCTTGCCACGACACTGACAGAGCCGCACTGTGAAATATCTGCCAGAGTCATTCATCATTTCTGCTTTGTTCTCCCCGCACAGCTAGTGGCACACGCTCGTATCTATTAGGGATGTCTCAGGCCTGCAAGTATCCAGTTAATGCACTGCAAAAAGGAGCTGTATCATCACAGTCCAGACATCCCTGGTCTCACGACTGTGACAAAAGAAGGCACACAGCAACTTCAGTGAAACCAAACAATTTTTTTTTCCCGCTATTCTTCAGCGACATCTTCTATTTACATTAACCTTTTATATGATCTTCCTATTGTCCAAATCCAGAGCAATCCTTCAATACATGGAAAGGTGTCTTTTTACACATGAAACTGATCCAACAAAAGAATTACTCACATGTTCAAAACTATGTAGGAAAGTGTGCTATGGCACAGTGGGAAAATCTAATCTCTAGTACACAAACACAGTGACCTAATGACAAGACCATCACTAGACTATAGAGGAATATCTGGACTTATCAAATACACGTAAATATGATCACTGCTTTTTTCCTAGCCACAAAATAATCTTGCAAAGAAGCTCCAACCTAAAAAGCTCAGGAGGAAAACTAGGGAGTGCTTTAGGATAGGTTGTTGTAGAAAGACCAGAATGCCAGGCCATTTCAGAGCACTGCTACAACCTAATTTCAGAAGGAATCTTCTTCCACTGAGAAATTTGTGTGGAAGTGCCATGGAAGTCTGAGAAACTTCCTAAGCAGTATATGCTTCTGCTTTAAAATACTGACAAGTATCTTCAGGTGAATTAAATTATCGTAAACCTCACCTGCAGGTCTGCCAGTGTATATGCTACATTGTACCAGTACCACACCATTCTTACTTCACCATTAACTGCTTACACGTCAGTAGCAGAGCACACCTGGCATATTAAGGAGCACTAAAATCAGATGTACTTCACCAGACATTCATAAAGAAGTTTATAAAGATTTGGCAGTTTAATGGCTGTCAGCATCTTGATACGCTAGAAGCAATCTTTCCTTCTCTGAAGTGTGAGAAGCCAAAGTGTAGACTGCAGAGAACTTTGCTATTGGGATCAACTAAGCAGGGAACGGGACAAGAATTTACTTGGCTTTTAGGGTCTCTCCATGCCCATGCCATGCAGCCTCTTCATCCAACTGCAGTTCTCGCAGGACACGGCTAGGTTTGTAAGCTGCATTGATCAATAAAGTGAGAACCTACAGTGAGAGAGGGAAGAGGAGAAAATACGTTTAAGTTATTTGTACACTAAATCTGTTTTAAAGTGCCAGGGTAGAATAGGAAATTACTTCTATTCATCCAAATTACCTAGCATCAAAGCACTCATTCACAGCAGGATGACAGATACCTCCAGATACTGCCAAAATGAAAACTGAGAGCAGTCGGCACTTCGGGCCCTGCCAAAGCTTCAGAGTTTGTCTGCAGAGTCACGAGTATCAAGCAATTTCCAAGACACTGCCCTTGAATTACACGTCACTAAATTAAAGCCTGGGGCTGAATACCGCAAAACTTGCATAACCTTGGGTAAATCCAAGTGATTATCTTACAGATTGTTTGACGTGTGAAGGTGTGCCAAAAAATGCTGCAGGATTTTGCTGCCTGCCAACCCACTACTTGCTACAAAATCACAGCGCAGAATCTTAAGATCTCTTCTGCCTTGATTTCATGAACCATGATCAGGCCTGTACTATAATAAAATGAAAATTTCTCTGCTGCTGTAAAGTAACTTAAAGTCGTGAATAGCCTGAAGTTCGTGCAGGATAGTATAAAACATGCATTCAAATTGTATTTTGTATTTTCAGTACATGCTTATTCCAAATCATTCCCAAATTATGTGCATCAGAACCTTGACATAACAAACTTGCAGCTTCAGTCCTACTAATGCAGCAGCCCAGAGGACTATAGTTCAAAAGAAAGAGTATTAAATATAATGCAAGAACCAAACTTACTCTAGGATTCATATGTTGAGCACAAGTCATAAATGAACTGAATACAACTGAGCATATTGGTTGAACTTTAGCAACGCTCAGCATCTTTACATCCGCAGGAATTGTGCATACTTTATGTTTTCAGGCAGTGAAGCAGGTTAAACCTTCAAGGTTAAATGAAGCTGCCACAGGATTTCACACTTGCTCTTTTGGAGCGCTTACATGAGAGTACTGAAACTTGCAGAAAGGATGGAGTACTTTTCTGTATGCAAAAATGGAGCTGTTTCAATAATCAGCTTGACTCTTGTCCACTGGACTCTTGTTTTACAGCATGTCTGCCAGAAAGCCTTTCTTAAGGTCTCCCCCAGTTATGATACGTGGTAGGGAAGGTAAAAATTCCAGAGAAGTTGCGCCAATTCCTGCATTTAAAGTTATTGTTTCATGAGAGCTCAAGTATGCACACATAATTATGCCTTGGGAAACATTCAGCCTCTCAGGTCAGGTAATAACCACCCCATGACCTTTTTGGAGATTTCAGAAAAATAATTATTGCATTAGAGTATGTAAATTTGCTGTGAAGCGCCTTCTGGAGAAGAGGCTCTCTGGCATTAAAGAATGGCCTTTTCCT